TTCCAACCTCATAGGAGCCGATGTATTTATTTTCTTGTTTTATTTATGCTGTAACACGTATCAAGTGTCGGTTAAAGGGGACGTCAGACCCAGTAGTGTGATGTTGGTAGATGCTTCTTAAACAACAACGTTGTTCCTTCCCTCCCCACCAGTTCTACCCCTTCTGCCCCCAGTTCTCGAGACTCCAGGGAACCAGAGCGTGTCTGAGGGTCCCGGCTGGGCTGGTGCAGGGGCAGAGGCCGGGCAGCCCTCTGCCCTCCCACCACCGGTCCTGGCCTTTGAGACTCAGCCTGACCCCACGTTCCACTGGGAACGAGTCCATGCCCAGACCTCACTCTGAGCACGTGGGGAGAAGTCGGCCCTTCTGGATCTTTCTCTTAAGTCATTTTATCATGGACTAGTGCGTGCTCCGTGTCCACCCAATAAAAGGATCTTTCCTACTCCACCTCGCGTCTTTGCGCCGCACACATCAGCCCCGGAGGATGGAGCCTGAGTCCCGCCACCACCGAGAGGAGCAAGAGGCGTCCGCGCTCGGCCCGGGGACCAGCTGGATTCTCTCCTGGGCTTGCCATGGCTGCCACGCTGGAGGCCAGGACCTGCTAGGACCAGCCCCTCTGCCTCCCCCTTCGCGGTATCCCTGAGAACCAGGCCATCCCTGGGGACGGTCCCCAGCACCAAGGATGGAGCTGGGTTGCCCTGTGCCAGGATGCTGTGCAGCAGGGCAGTGCGCCCGCCAGCCGCTGGAGACCGCCTCGCCGGCCCGGGCTCTCTGCCTCCGCGGTGCCCCGAGGCGTTACCACGGCAGAGAAGGCCTGGGTGGTCTGGCCTTGTTGCCCACGGCTCGAGAGGAGTTGTGCCGAGGGCCGACACCCATCTGCTGGCCGTGTGCGGCCACTCGCAGGCATCCCGTCTGCTAGCTGGGCTGGGTCTGGGACCGAGCCTGGGACATGGGGCCATTTGGACGCTAGCAGAATGTTTGTGACCCTGACCACGAAGCCTGGGCCGGGGGAACACCACTTCTCGCCATCTGCCTCGTGTTGGGGACTTGGCTTGGAGGGCTGTGAGGGGTGCTGGGTGGTGTGAGGTTGGGCCACAGAGCCAGAGGACACGCCAGGCTGGGGAGGGCACTGCCCCCCAGATTCCCACCACAGAGGACCCTGCCTGCACAGGCCCCTGGAGCCCAGGCCATGCGGCTGTCCTGAGAGTGAACTGCCCCAGTTTAGGCCTTTACTGTCCACAGGCCCGGATGCCACAGCTGTGCCACGGGACCCAGGGGCTTTGTGCAGCGTAGTAGGGCCTGTGGTCATGGAAGCGCAAACCTGGCCGTGCTGGTTGTGCCGGCTGGGCCGAGCTCTGGGAGGTTTGCAGCCCAGCTGCGGTCACAGTGTCTCCTGTGTTAGTGGCAGAGGTAAGGGGAGGCAAAGGGCAGGGAAGGGCGGCCCCACTCTACCTCTCGGGAGCTGGGTTGCATCTTCTGCTGTCGGCCCACGTGCCAGCCCTCGGGCATATTCTTCTCCTCCTGCCTCTGCTCTCGAGCAGGAGAGGTAGCGCTCACCTAGGCCTCCCTCTGGCCTCCCCCCTGGATTTGTGTGACATGCCCCTGCCACATGTCCCCCGTGGCCCCCGCCGCCTTTGGGACCCCACTGTACCCCCACATGCCACCTTTCCACACCTCCACCTTGCACAGGTGGTCCTGCCTCCGGTGGGCCCCAACCTCCCTCCACAGCCTCCCGAAGTGCCTCTTCCTGTATCACCTCCCCAGCCTGTCACACCAGCTAGCCAGGCGGCATGGCTGCTACCAGGCTTTGAGCCCTGAGCCTGTGTGTGTGGACACACTCGTCCTCTCGGGCCAGATGGACACGAGGGTCCAGAGGCCACAGACCCCTTCCTCGGTCACACAGTGGAATCCCAGTGACTTAGGTCTGTAGGAGGACATCCCAGCTGCTCCCAATGGCACCCCATGAGCTCTGGGGACCCCAACGTGCCATCCTCTCAGGACTGCCCCCTCCAGGCCCGTGGGGGGATCGAGCCAGGTGCTTTCTGCCATCCCTGGCTCCCCACGTAGTGTCCCAGGAGTTGGGCAAGCTGGGAGGCACTCCTTCCAAACCTCCCCCATCCCCTTTGAGGCTGAGGCCCGTCTGGCGCACAGGCCCGGGGCCCGAACTGCGGGTCTCCTCTGCACTTGGCATTTCCTCCTCTGTCCCAGTGCTGAAGTCAGGGCATCTGGGCCATCTCAGAGGCAGCGCAGCCTGAAGTCTTCCATGCATGGCCCCAGGGGTTCAGGCAGAATGGGAGGGACGACACGCCCCTTCCACAGCTCTGACCTCGGGCACTGGTGAAATAGACTTTTTATTGCATTTCTGCCGTTTTACAAAAATATGACAAAATAAATTAAAAACAAATAAATAATCGCCTATTGTGTTTCCTGTTGGTGTCGTGGGTTCCTTTCTCCCCCGTGCAGGGCAGAAGGACAACGGCAGAGGCGGC